TTCATTTATTCAACAAATATCTTTAAGCATGTTTATGTACAAGGCACTGTGCCAGGGGCAGTGGGGACAAGGGAGGGCATGACACAGACTCTGCCTTAAAGCAGGCTACAGTCCATCCTGGCTGTGCTTTTCCCACTCTTTGGGGCTTCTCAAATTGGCCAGTGTCCCTTTCCAGATGTGGTTTCCAGATCTGGACGCTACATTCCCAAGTGGTCTGACCAGCACAGAGTTCAGAAGAACTATGACTCATGACATACATCCTGTGAGTCCAGGAATTTTTGATCATTCATATTATCCTTAGGAAGTGCTCAGGATGTATTAATGGTGGGTGTGTGTGTGTGTGTGTGTGTGTGTGTGTGTGTGTGATGTAAAAAGACATTTGGTTAAAATTTTTGTAAATTGTCTGCTCTTTGTGATTAAACCAAATGCGTCATAGTATTTCTGGTGATAAAAGTTGAAGCCAAACAAAGATAAATCTTTATCTTGAATTACCCCCCCCCCAAAATAAAAACTCTTAGCAATAAGCAGATCGCAATCGTGTTCATAACAAACTCAACACATAAGAATGGACAGATTTTTTTTTCAATAAACAACCCAGGATGTTTCACACTGTCAGGAGTGGTTCTTTATGATGTTTCTGAAAAACAGTGGGAAGGGCAGCATGAACACCTGGATGTGAACACAGCTGTTTCTAATTATGGGGGGCCCTTTGTCTTCAAAGCAGAGTGAATGCTGGGGTGCTCTTGGGAGTGCACATCTTCCACGAGACTTGCTCAGGATCCGGCAGCCGCCCACCTCCACCTGTCTGAAACACAGGGGCAAGCCGCCTCCTAGCTTCTGATCTGAATAACTTTGGTCCTTAAATTCCTTCAGGCTTTTGGCTTTTTTCTTTGGGGTTTTGCTTTGAAGCTGAAAATATGAATTTTGGGGTTATGCTGTTTCCTGGGTACTTTCCGTCTGTGCAGGAGACAGAACAGGGGCCAGAAGGTCAGCGGAAGAGAAAGTGCTACTCATCTGAGACAGCTGGGACGAGTGTGGGAGAACTTGACCAGATTTGGGGGGTCCAGAGACCCAGGAATGATTCCAGAAAAAGCAGAGTGGATGGGAGTCATTCTGTTTTCTCCTCCTAAGATAATCTGTAGGCAGCATTGTGCTGAGTATTTCTAAATTGGTAATTTCACTCTTTAATATTTTCAAATAATTTTTCTTGACCTAACATCTCTTCATTTAACCAGTATTTATTAGGCACTGAATATATGCCAGGAACTTTAAACTTTAGAAAAAACTATTCTCCTAAGTGTTGTCTTAAAAAGAATCTGTAGTTTTCTGTTCTCTATGTGATACAGTGGCCACTCTTCAAGGGCAGTTAAGGGCAGAAACTTTAGAAACCTCCTAAGTGGTGTTTCTTGGCCTAGGATTCCATAGGCCTGGAGGGGACGAGACCGAGGTGGCTGTCGCCGTCACCTCCCAACTCTATTTCCAGAAATCCCTCATGGAACTCTGCGGTACCCATAGCCTTGTCTGAAAATCAGTATTCTTAGCAAAAAGAAAATTATTTAATTTTAAAAATATTTTTTAAACATTTTTGCTGATTATAATGTTCTCACCAAAGGAATCTGGAAAACAGAGATAAACACAATGTAAGAAATTAAAATCATGTATAATTCCACTATGCAGAGATAACTATTGATAAAATGTTGGTGTATGCATCTCTTCATCTATCTAGATCTGGGTTTTTTTTTTTTTTTTACTACAGTTTTATAGCCTACTTTTTATGTAACAATATATTGGGAACATTTCTTCAGGCCATTGCCTTTTCTTCTACAATGTAATTGTGGTAGCTACTTGGAATTCCATTATAAGTATGTACCATTGTTGATTTAACTAATTGCATATTATTGTGCTTTTAGGTTGTTCCCATTTTTCACAATACACACACCCACACACACACACACACACACACACACACGAATAAAAATTCTTATCTCTAACTTTTTATTCCCATTCATTATTTCCTTATAAGACACCCCAGATGTAGACTTTCTGGGTAAAAAGATAAGGCAAAATTTAAACCCTTTGAAATGTATACAGGGAAGCCCAGGATTCTGAGTCATAAGGTCTTTGACCCAATTTCCAACCCAGCGGTGTGACCTTGAGCCTGATTACTCTACTTGTTGAATGGGGACCATGACCATACACCCCACTGCGTTTCGACAGCTGATCCGGCAGGCATGGGCAAGCCTTTGAAAGACAAGTGGTGGGGCTCTGCTTATCTGCCCGGCAGCCATGCTTCACTTCATTCTTCCAACAAACCCAGAAACTTCTTCCCTTTTGCATTCCTTGTACCTGCAGGGTAGGCCTAAATCACCTAAGCATAATCTCATCACCTTGCCAGTGATAGGTTCAGAAATAGGCATCTGAACCAATTTGGTTTAATAAGATTTTTTTTTTTTTTTTATAGGAAGGAAGGAAGGAAGGAATGGAGGAAGGAAGGAAGGAAGGGAGGGAGGAAGGGAGGAAGGAAGCGGTTTAATAAGATTTAAGGGCAAGTTTGCTGGGGCTTCTGGAAAATTCCTCATCTTTAAAGACAGGGCCATAGGAAGAGAGAATCTCTCTCTGTGGGGACATTGTCATTTGCGAGGATCAAGCTCGGCCATATACTGCAGGAGGCGCGTTAAGCTGAACCTCCATCCTGAGGATGAAGCTGAATCCAGACAAAACCGAGCTGAGAATCACATGGAAATGGAACTGTAGCCACTGGATTGGTGAGCCTTGAAGCTGGCCTGCCTCTAAACACCCGATTCTGATAGCCTATACTCTTGGAATCAGTTAACTTTAATTTAAAACTCCAGTTCTGATCATCATGTTTTTCATTTCCTTTTCTAATTATAGGAAATGTTTTTTAGTCTCTTACAGGCTTTCCTTCCAACTTCTTATATCCTTCTATTTCTCAATAGGAAAATTTTCAAAATAAAGAAAATACACTTCAAGGGGATATTTGCATGAAAAGGACAGTGCTGGTGCTGACAATTCAGAGGTGACTTACTGGAATCTGCAGAACCAGAGGAGCCCAACCCAGGCCTTCCACCTTGGTCACCGAATCAGAAGATTTTTCGAGTTGGAAGGATGCTTGGTGCTCAAAAGTCCTGCTCCCATTTTGTAGATGAGGAAATTGAGGTTCGGAGAAATATGCTGATTTCCTACAAAGCCCATGACGGCTGGGTACTCTCCTCCGGCAGCAGCTTTAGAAGACTTACCTGGCATCCCAGTTTGACTCCTGTCATGTTTCAGGGGGGAGATTTAACATACCATAATTGGTTCTTTGAACCCATTGTTTCCTGGAAAGCAAAGCTCTCCGTTTGAAGCACGAACTAAAAGAACAGCGCTCCTGTCCACCACGTTGGAAGTCCTTTTAGTCTTCCCTAGTGATTCTTTCTAGATGTCCCTGGAGAGAGGCCTCGACAATAATCCAGACTTCTCCCTGCTGTGCCGCTGCTCTTGGTCTACACCCCTTGCTGCCTTCTTCTCCGTTGACTGCTATTTCTCTGTATTCCTGGCTCATGATCCATGCTGCTGCCAAACACCCTCTCTGCTCAATTCATGGCTCACTGTCCATGTTCCTTCTGACTGTCCCTGGATCGCCACCTACACGTGTTCTTCTCCCTCTCCAGCCAATAAGGCAGCTCTTGTTTTCTACTCTAGCGGGGAGCTGTTTGCACTCTTGCCCAGCATGCTCCTCCCTGGAGGGCATGTGCCCTGGGGCAATGGGTTTGACCAGCGCTGGTCCCCACCCTGTGCCAGGCTCACTGCGTGTGGGACCACATCTCCCTCCAACGTCCAGCCCTGGCTCCCAGTCCACTCTGCTCAGCCACATCTTCCCACGTGATGTTTCTCAGAAACCTCACTTCCAAATTAGGGGGTGGAACTAGAGCAGAAATGCTTCATCCATGATGATCTTATAAAATTGTTTTCAAAGTTTTGTGTAAAAGAGCATTTTATGGGACAAAAGCATCTAATTTTTATCAGACTGTCAGAGGCGGTCTGTGATCCTACAGTGGTTAAGAGCCACCGGTCTCTGGATGGTCTCTAAACTAGCTGGGCTCTGAAGCTCTTTGAATTCCAATGTGACTCATAATATGGTTTTGTGGCAAATTTGCCCAAAGCAGAGACATTCGGTCACTCTTCCAAACTACTTTTATTATATCCTTGTAAATGAGTACTAGAGTGTATGCAAGAATTTTAGCCTTATTACTACAGGAGATGTTATATTATTTCAACAGAATACAAATCAGCAAGACATTAGTGCTGTACCCACAAGACTGTTTATTCTAACCAACTTCAAATACTGTAAATACTAGGAGATCTTTCTTTTCAAAGCAGCAAGACCTGGGAAACTATACTGACTGGAAGGATGGTTGGGGAGGGGGGAAGGAAGGGTGCTGGGAGCTCCTGTTTCCCCTTGCAAGTTGTTCTTTCCATTCAAGGAATGGGATGTACCAGGTGGGCGTCACTTCCTTCTCCTCTGTGTGGCCTGTAGTTCCACAATCGGCCCCTAGACGGCGATCTTGCGTCGGTAAGGGGCATGGTCGCCGAGCTAAGTGGGAGGCCGGGTGACTGCTGGGTGGCTGAAACCGCCCATTGGTCAAGTGGTAAGAGGTAGTTTTTCACCACTGTTGGAAGACAGGATTGGAGAAGTAACAAAAACCTTCCTACATTACTTACAATGAAATTTGGAAACACTTGACATTAGTCTAGTCATTGAAAACATGATGTAAGTGTGATGTTTAGGGGAAGCTATCCATTTTTTCAAAAAAATTTTAGTTGTGGTAAAGTACACATAACATAAAAGTTGCCATTTTACAAGTGTACATGTTTTTTTTAAAGGGTACAGTTCGGTAGTGTTAAGCAACCAATCTCCAGAACTCTTTTCATCTTGCTGAACGGAAACCCTGTACCCATTCAACAAGTCCTCATTCCCTCCCGCCTCAGCCCCCGGTGACCAGCATTCTACTTGCTCTCTCTATGAATTTGACTCTTCTAGGTACGTCATTGAAGTGGAAAAAAGTATTTGTATTTTTGTGTCTGGCTTATTCTATATAATATAATTTTTTTCAAGAAGGACCTGCCAATTTTTATCTCAAAATAATTTTTTTTAAATTTGTAAATAAAAACTGGTAATTAATTTTTAAAAATATGGCTGGACTTTTGTCTCATACGCACAGCTTCACGGGCAAATGTTCTTGTTCAAACCACTAAAAGTCAAAACCTGCAGGCCCAGCGCCTAGCAGGAGGGCTTCTAAAGGCTCTGTTGAGCATGCTAACCCACGACGCTGTACCAGTTGACTCAGAAGGGTGTCCAGGCCAGGAGGCAGAGTTTGTCAGCAGGACACAGCCAGCATCCCCCTTCTGCAGGACCTTGTAGCAGACCACAGAGCATCCACAGGGTGGACAGAAGCTATTCTTTTTGGCCCCCAAGTGATGACTCAGATATGAAGACATGAGACTCACATTAGTGTGGAAGCCACCTTATAACGGATGCCCCACACTTCACAGCAGCCAATATTTTTGGAGGAACCCCAAGGGGCATGACTTTTGTGGTCCCCACAGGGTCATGCCAATTACAAGGATCACTGCGTGTAGGTAAACTCAAAATATCTGACTTCCTATCTGGTATTTATAGCTGTCCCAATCTAGAGAGGACTTACCAGACAGGGCCCAGTTTTACTTTCCTTTTTCGGGTTTCCAGGGGAACAGAGCTAGGAAGATAGCCAAAAATCAAATGCTTATGCAAAAGTGGAAAGAGGTTTTGTTAATCCTTTATTCACTGCCCTTCACGTGGTTAGATTACAATGTCTGACAAAGCGTCTGGTTGAATAGAAAGGAGTCAGAATGGCAAACCGATAGGAAGAACTAAATTACACAATGAAATTTGCCATCTCTTATTTGTTACAATTGCTTTGGTTTTCAAAATCGATGTGACTTTGCACAATGCCTGGCTACTCCTGGAGAAATGTTTCCATTTGAAAACTTCATGAGCAAATCCATTATATTCGGGGGTGAATTTAAATACAGTTGGAAGAGGGCTTCTCTCTAAAGTAATTCCATAGACAAAATACTTCTCTCTAAAGTATTTTCATAGAAAATACTAAATGTAGGTTAAGAGAGCAGGAAGCCAGTTAAGAAAGTTGACAGCCAGAGGGGGTGGTGATTCAAGAAAAATATGTAAGATATGGGTTAGGGAGCCCCTTACCGTACCCCTCACCTCTTGGCTCTCCCTATACCTTTTGCTGAAGTTTGAGATTGTTTAACTAAAGAATAAATCCATCCATTCCACAATGACATTTAGGATTGAAGGTGCGGATACCTTAAGAGAGACTTATTCACATGCGAGTTTATAGAAGTCTGATAATGCAGACCACAAATGTTAAAGCTGAGAGAAACCACAGAGCTTAACTAGCAAGCTCTTTATCTTACAAGGAAGAAACTCGGTCCCAAAGAGGGTAAGCATGCAGATTGATAGTAATGGAGCTACAATTAGAACCTCAGATGCCTGGCAAATGTGCCCATCAAATATTGCATTCTTTCTTAAGAGAAGGAAGAGGAAGTTTGTGGAAAGGGAAGAAGGGGTGGTGATCTATGAAACAGCAGGGGGGTACGAAAGGGGAGGTGAGAGGCATTTTGTTTCAGCAGTGGCTGTTCCCATTGTTGCAGATTCGCAATTCTTTGTGATACAGGGTGGGGACTCCATGGAGGTAGAAAAGGGAATTCGAGCCAGCAATTTGTTAACGCTGATCTTGCTAAAAGGGAATCTCTTTTAAACAGTAATTTGCTGCATCAGTCATTCTGCAGGGCAAACAGAAGAACTGTGACTTCCCAGGACACAGGGGCCCTGGGTTGGGACTTCGCCCACCTGTCCCCACTCACAGGTCTTTTATAAGGTCAGCATTTGTAGTGGAAATGGCCTAGGTGTGTCGTGCCCATGGCTTTCTCTTCGATTGAAGAGAGGGGTCACCTTCTATATAGTAAGTATTTAACATACATAAAGATGTTCTGGATCTTCATTTATGACACAGAGGCCGCGGTGGGGAGAAACGTGAAAGGAGATTTCAAAGCCTTTGTCAGTCTCGGAACAATAGAAGATGACAAGGAGACACGTGAGGAGTAGCTGGTCCATGGGCGAGGGAAGCGCCGGTTTGAGAGAAGGGAGAGAAAAGTCTGGCCTGATCCGTGGAAGGTCCTGTGTGAACTGGGAAACCGGGAGAAGCTTCCTGTTGGACTGAACTCAAGAGCAGAGTCTGGTGGAAGCAGGCGAAAGGAACTCCCTTCTCCAGCTGAAGGAACTCAGGGCGGGAACTCCAGTCCCTAACGGGGGAAGAGCTAAGAGCGAGAAACCAGAGGCACTGTGCTCTGTCACAAAGGGCTGGCATGGAGAACCCACAGCTGCGCAAATCACAATGGAGCTCCCACCCAGAGCGGCCTCACATGCTCGGGAAGGCCAGTGGGGACAGGCGGTTTTCTTCTCCGTGACCGCAGTCCCTAGAGGTACTAAGTGTAGCTGAGCAAACGGGGCCTGCCAGGAAGGCCTCCAAGCTGAGGAACCAGTTTCCCCCCAACTTGTCTGGAACATTCTTAATTTCTGACTCATGGCCAACCAATAAACCCTAATTTTTGTTTCAGAAAATGAGCTTTTTCTAGGAATGTGATGAGCTACGGAGAGTCATAGGGAGGACCCACAGGGTCTCTGGAGGTGAAAACAGAAGTGACTTTTGAAAAAACAGGGATGTCTTGCTCTGTGTGCGCTCTTGCACCCCCAGGATCCTCTCTTAGGACCCAGTTACCTTTTTTTTTTTCTTAGCTTGGTGACATCTGGCAGCATTCAGTCTCCAAGCTAATGCTCAAAAACAATAAGGTGACCTGGCATCACTAAATCGTCACCAGCTGTGTCTAGCTTTAAAAATCTGTGATTAATATCAGAGCTGAATGTTGCTTATTAACCAAGCACAGCTCATTAATCATGTGCAGGTACGAGGTGGAGGTTAGGGTTACGTCCCCACAGCCAATGCCCCGGCAGGGCAGCTCGGGAGTGCAGCACCTGCAAAGAGAATAATAATAGAACGGGAGAGGAAACGCAAACCTTTGCCTAACACGCTGTTCTGTTTAAACTGTCTTTCAAGCTGCATAGAGAATAAAAAAGACGACACCATCCTTTGAGAAAAGGAAGCAGCTATTGTCAGAAGAAATGCAAGCCTTGGACAGGGAAGAGGGAAGCATAAAGTGACAGGACCAGGCAGTCTGTCCCAGTTTCCTCCCTCACTTGAGTGCCAGCAGCTTGTGGGTGCTCGCCCGGGAGGGTCTCTCCTCTCTCATGTCTTTGGAGCTTGTCTGTTTTCAGGTTCTGCTCTCTGGAGGTGGTGTCCTCTTTAAAATCCACAGAAAGTTGGCACCACCTGGGAGCCCTCCTGCCAAACAAAGGCCATATGGGCAGAGCTGGAGTCCAGCAAGCCCTGGTGCTCTGTCCACACTACCCCAGAAAGTGACAGTGGAGACCAAAGGCAGGGTCCTGGTGATCCTATCCTAGCTGAGCTGGAGGGACCACCTGCTGGGATCCTTTAGGAGAAAGCCCAAGGTGCAATACCAGAAAATTGTCTCTCCAGGAATGTGGTCTGAATTTACACAGGATTCAAGAGCTCACCAGGGACAAAAAGGTTCCTGGCTGGGAAAGGAGGACCCCAGAGCTTTGGAACACACACATTTACGTGCATACACACACACACACACACACACACACACACACACACACACACACACACACACAGAGCTCCTATTTCTACCATGTATGTGTGTAGACATACAGGCAGTCCCCAGCTTATGAAGGTTTGACTTACAGTTTTCCATCTTTACAGTGGTGTGAAAGCAATACGTGTTCAGTAGAAACTGCACTTTGAGGACCCATATAAGCATTTTGTTTTTCACTTTCAGTACAATATTCAACAAATTACATGAGCTATTCAACACTTTATTATAAAATAGGCTCTGTGTTAGCTGATTTTGACCAACTGTAGACTAATGTAAGTGTTCTGAGCATGTTTAAGGTGGGCTAGGCTGAGCTGTGATGTTCAGTAGGTTAGGCGTATTAAATGCATTTTCGACTTGTGGTATTTTCATCTTACGATGAGTTTATCAGGACATAACCCCATTGTAAGTTGAGGAGCATCTGCACATTTGTGGAGAACTAATCATAATCATGGAACCAGCTCATCTAATCAAACTTTTCTAATGTTTTATTCTTTATAGTTGAAAACCAATTATTGTAGAAAAAAATCAGGAAATGCATAAAAGTACAAAGAAAAGATAATGTCATCATGGAGAGAAACATTTAGCATTTTCCATCTGGAACTCTGGTCTTTGTACTTGAGGACTCTTTATTTTGTTTTTCAACATTAAAATCCACTCAATATCCTGTTTTATTTGTGTTAACGATGTCCTGTTGACCTATTTTAAGTTAAGGATGTACTGTGAACATTTCTCCATGTTCCCATGACTTTTAATGTCGGTATAGTATTCCACAGCCAGATGTACCCAACCAGACACTTTAACTACAATCAAGATAAACACGTTGACTTATAACCTTGGCTCAAGGCATAAGTAAAAATGACTGTATCCCTAACTGGGCCCTACAACCCCCAAAGTCCCACAACACTGGTACAGTGTTTCACTGAGTGGAACAGGGCTGCCTGTGTTCTGTCTTTCCTGTGGGTGTTTCTGGGAAGAGAGGCCATTTTCTTCTCTCCTTCTCTCCTGGGGTTGGATTTGTTTTCTCTCTCTGTGTGTGTCTGTTCATTTGGGGGTTTGTTGTTTCGCCATTCCTGAGTGGTTCAGAGCATCCTACTACAGAGGAGGGGTAGGGCGAGCTTCAGCACTGAGGGAAATACAGACCTCTCCTCTGGGGAGCTGCAGGAGACCCTGGGTCTGGGAGGCAGGCCAGGCTCGTCCTGAGCTGGCGGCAAAGGGGAGCTGCTGAGGACGGGCCTGTGGTGCGGGTGAGGAGCCTTCACTCGCCCCTTCTATCTGCTCCCATTTAAAACCATGTGTGCCGTGGGGAGGTAATTTGCTTAGCCCTTCAACTTGTGTGACCACACACATTCTTTAAAGAGATGTTTACTAGCTTCGCAGGAAAAAAAAAATTCTCCTCAGAAAAGTTCAAGAAAATATTTTCCTTTTTTTCTCTGTTTTTCAGCTGACTCTCCATAAGAAAATATCTGCGGCCTCTCTAAACCATGCCTCAGATTAGCACTTGGGTTCGTGCTTTCCCCTTTTCCCTTATGCCTCCCTGTTGCTGCTGCAAAATGCTGTTGCCCAAGGTGGGTTTTCCTTTTCTCCCCACTTCCACTCCCTGGGTAATGCATGGGCCCATGTCTCAGGGGAGAAGACGATGGGAGGAGGCGGCTGACCGGAGGGCTCACCAAGAGGCCGCGGGGAGGCAGTGCCAGCCCCAGTTGAGGGGAGGCCCCGCTCCTGGCAGGGCTGACTGGGGATTGTGCACACACTGGGCAGAGAAGCGTGGGACCTTTCTCTTTAGAATTCCACCCCACTGTTTCTTCTACTACGAATATTCTCCCCTGTGTCAGTGACCCAGGAATAAAACTAGAGAGAAAGAGAAAACGTGAGGGTTCAGGCCTGGGGAAGGTGAGGAAAGGATGGGACAGGGACAATGAACAGATAACAATGAATAACACCACGCTGAGAGGACTTTACAGTCCACAAAGCATTTTCGTATCCACTACTTCATTAACTCCTCACAGCCCGTGTGAGAAAGTATACCATGGACAGGATGGTCCCCACCTCATAGTCCGTTTCCAGGGAACCCTACCGTATTAGCCAGCTGAAGCCACCATAACAAAGTACTACAGACTGGGCGGCTTAAATGACAGAAATTTGTTTTCTCACAATTCTGGAGGCTAGGAGTCATGATGTGTTTTGAGGCCTCCCTCCTGGGCTTGTTGGTGGCCGTCTTCTCCCTGTGTCCTCGCGTGGTCTTTCCTCTGTGTGTATCTCCATTCTCACTCCTCCTCTTATGAGGATACTAGTCACATCAGATTAGGGCCCTCCCTAATAACCGCATTTTAACTTCATTAGCTCTTTAAAGGCCCTATCTCCAAATACAGTTACATTCTAGGGGTTAGGACTTCAACATATATGAATTTTGGGGGAACAGAATTCATCCATAACACTTCACACAAGGTTAAGAGATGGAGTGATATGCCCCAAATAAAGCAATACCCCTTTATTTGTTTAACCACTTGTAAAATATTAAAATATCTTGCAGCCCCAGGGCTCTTCCTGCTCCTCTGTCATCTGTGCTCTTCAGTAGCAACCTTATGAAATGGACTGAGCAGGTAGCACTGCCAGGAAATCAAGAATTAGGACCCAGATCTCTTGTAGTTTCTATGCCCTGATCACTACTACACATGGTCTACCACAGCTGGGAATCGAACCCCTTTAACTCTGCTAAATTGTTGCCAGCACTCACGAACACAAACTGTAGTGCACAATTTAATAATCTTATTAACTGATGTTATACATGACCACAAAATGACAAAATTAAGGACAAAAAAAATCACCTAAAGTACACTCTCGATGAAGCAATAGCACAGGGTACAAAAGAATACAGACTGTTCTAGGTCTGGGTTTCTGGAATAAGGACTAGATCATAAAAATCCTAACTGATCAGAAAAATGCGGAGCTGTATGGTCCCAAGTGGGGAATATTTCATACAATGAAGACTGTAAAAGCTTCAAAGAATCTTTCATGTGCAATAATGTTGTTAAACAATAAATACACATTGTTGGAAGTTTGGTTTTTCTTATCTCCTGACAAATCCACATGAATGGAGAGTTAGTTGGAGGAGGCTGGGGAGAGGAAATATCTGTGATTTCAAATCAAAAGTAGTTTTTGCCTTGGAAACAGTATGCTATAAACTTGTCCTCAGATTTTCACCCCACTTATTACAATTATGTCTTATGCAAGATTTTTAATTCCACTGGGCCTCATTTTTGTTATCTATAAAATGAGGGTAATAACTTTTACTCTGTAGAGTTACTGTGAACATTAAATAGATTTTTTTTTTAATGTAAAGTACCCACACAGTGCTGGTGTATAGCAAGAACTCTGAAAATGTTCCTTCTGGCTTATGGGAGGGGAAACCACCTCTCCCAACCAATGCACTGCTACCATTGCCAGAAAAATGGGAGGAAGACCTTCAATGCCAGCCCAGAACCCACCCACTTGCTTATTCATAAAGGAGACAGATTCTCTCTTTCAACTCCAGGATTACTGACAGAGACCTCAGCATGACAACTCAGCTCTGCAATAAGCCTGCTAGCTGATCTTCAGGGTCCCCAGGACGCTAGAAACTCCAAAGGACTAATGGGTGCAATGAATAAGGGGGAGAATAAACAAAATGAGAAAGAGAGAGAGAGAGAGAGAACACCACACAGATGGACCTTTCTTTTTATTCTTTTTTCAAATGCTTATTATAGAATATTTCAACCAATTCAAACAAAGAGAAGAGGGTGAGAATATTTGACATTTTGGTGAACATCCTTCCAGGCCTTTCTTTATGCTAAAATATATAATTGTAAATAATGTCTTAAAAAATCAATTTTACTCTATGGGCTGTCTTGAAAACTTCATTCTTTTTCACTCATAACTCATCATGACTATCCATTCACATCAACAAATATAGAGATACAGTCTTTAATAGCTGCAAAATATCCCATTGTATTATAATAATAGCTTAGAATTTCATTTTCCAATCTCATATTGCTGAATATTTTGGTACTTTCCAATTATTTTCTATCAATTACAAATATTTTGTTAAACATTTTTGTATATACATCTTCTCCAATTTGTTCAACTGTCTTTAGAGTAAATTCCTCGAGTGGGATTGCTGGGTCCAGCAGAGCGGTAACAGTTTACATTTCCACCTCAAGTGTTGGGAAAATCCCCAACTCCAGCTGGCTCGCTTCAAGTTCATGATGGTAAAACTCACATGGAAACTCAACACTGCAATCCTACCACACATCTCTATGTAGTTTGCTTTCCTACTCTTCAAGATAAGCCTTCTAAATCTTTTCATTTCTCATTAACACTGCCACATCCCTTCCTCTCTTACATGCTCAGTTGATATCCTGGTTTCATACTTAAAGCAAAAAGGAAACAAAAGCCACAGAGAGCAACACCTGTCCACCTCCAATCGATACACACACACACACACACACACACACACACACACACACACACACACATGCACAGAGTCCCAGGGCTCTTCTTAACCCTCTGCCATCCATGCTCATTGGTAACAACATGATGAAATGAAGTGGGCAGAAAGTCACTGCCAGGAAATCAAGAATTAAGACTGGACATTGGAATTAATTAAGACACTGGAACCCATTTTCTCTGTCTTCCTTCTTCACCGTGGCAGAGTCCACCTGGCTAGCCCTCGCCAACACCTTAGTTAAGCCACGTTTGCCCAATGATTCGAGTCCTTCTCTCCTTCTCAGGGATTAGCACGTAAAATCAATATCACAACATGTCAATGATAGCCCAAAAAGAAACACAGACACAGATCAATGTCATATCACTCATCTACTCTTTCAATATATATTTATTGAACACCTACTACACGCCAGGCACTCAGGGACCAGAAGGATGAACAAGATAGACTACTAGGTTTCTGTCCTGGAAGAACTTGTAATCTAATGGCAGAAACAGATGTAAACTAACCAAGAAGCAAGACAGGCAGATTGCAACAGGTGCCAGGTAGAAAAGGGGGTGACTGGATAAGAGCACAATGGGGTGGGAAGGGCTGGAGAGCAGTGTGTGGAGGGCAGGATGGTACAGGCAGTGTGGGCCACAGGAAGGGGACTTTATTGCAAATGCCTTGGGAACACATTAAAGAGTTTCAAGCAACATGCTTGGAATTTCATTTTTAAAAGATCTCTTGAGCTAACCTGTGGAAATTGAATTTTATGGAAATACAAACAACTAGTTGGAGAATACTCTCGTTTTTTATATTAAAGTCATAGGAATGTATGTATTCCTTAAACACACACAGGAATGTACTCCTTAAAAAAAATCCATCCCAAAGATCCATATCAGAGAGTGCACAAGTCCCATGCTCAAAGTAGAGGTGAGTTACTTGTCAAGATCTCTTAGTGCTGTAATTACATTTTCTTTCTTTCTTTTTTTTTTTTTAATATTTGGCTTCATTAAAGTATTTTTCTTAAGGGAAAGGAAAAACCATATTTTTTCCTCTGAAAAAAAATTTTGGCATAGATTCTAAACAAACACACTAAAGCCATATTCTTTAATCTTCTTAGATTCATAAATGAGCTATTTCCTTACTTAAGTACAATTAGGACTGGCTTATTTTCTCAATTTTAAGTGAGTTTCTGAAACATATCACATGACGCAGAGGATGAGTGGAAATTAGAAACTGTTGCTGCTTTTATAGCTCATGAACTGTACCATCTTGCTTTTCCTCCATAATTTGCTAATAACATCTGAAATCTAAGACCACCACCAGGAATTAACATATAATTCAATCAGAGTTAAAAGGATATTACCCAGCTCAGCACTGTAGGGGGTTGTTTACATCACGCACGTGGTGATGAATTAGGAAATCCTTTGTATGTTTAAGATTGTCCTCTCAGAATGTTTGGATATCCATGTAACAGTGACTTTAGGACAAAAATGAGATGGGAGGCGGGGATTGGTCTAGAATTGTTTTCAGATATTCCCACCATGTATTTGAACTAAATATGTAGGAACGAATAACATATTTACACAAGTATGAATTATTCCACCCCACATAGTCATTGCTCTAAGGCCGCCCACAGGAGATAGACCCTTTGCCTGTATACACTTAGCTCAGTGTGTGAAAGACGCTCTGACCTTCTTCTCTTTCTCTCCCCTTCAGACTTTGTGGGGGCCGCTGTGTGGACATCTTGAATCAAGAATTTTCTAGGCTAATTATTTCAACCGACTAAGACTGTGGGGCATTAAGGCTATTGTTGGTGCTGTTATTTGCTCTGAGATAAATGTTCTGTCCTGTTGCACTATGTTCAAGATCACTAAGGGAAGATTTTCAACCCGAAGTGGTGACTTCAGAGCCACTGGGGACTCAGAGAAGGAACTGCTTCTCTCCAAATCACTTGCCCCAGCAGCCTGCCATTACTGCTGTTTCGGGGAATTCTGCAAACAAGGCTAATTTTGCAAGGTGTCAGTAAAACAGACATACATTTAATTGCATTTTTTTAGCATGGATGTGAAGGGGACACTTGCATGCAGGGTGTCCCAATCCTTGTAGGAATTATCATGGAAGATTATAAAGGCAGATATCACACACCTTCCAGGTGTTCCTGGTGGCTTTCCTTCCCCTCCTCTGCAACTCTTCCCAGCACAAAATTTCCCTTCATCAGATCAAAGAGGAAAACTACACACTCACTACCCACCCCTCCTCGCTGCTGCCTTTTCCCCAAAGTTTTCTTGTTGTACTTTCATTTCTCTGCTCTGGTCTGTTGGTCCAAAAGGCTTTAGAGATCTGTCCACCCAAACTGGGTACACACTCTCTTCCTAGGTTCAGAAGTTTTCTTTCTTCCCCAACTATAGCTTCAAGCGACCACTACCGTTCTCACTCCCCTTCTTATCTTCATAAGCCAGCTTTGCCATGCTCATGACAGTTTCTGAGATGCCCCATAAGAAAACAACAATAACAAAAAACTCCTCCAACTTTTTCCTTTTTCTTTAAGCCCAAATTCCAGCTGCCCTGGTCAAGGTCAGCGTTGAGTTGCTTCTCCCTCTGGGACCTGAGATTTTCTTCGTCTCACCCCGCCACCCCATTGCAGGAATGCTGCTCTCCCATCCCCACTGGTGGCTGCAAATGCCTTTGGTTGGCTTAGGTTCTCCAGCATTTATTTCACTCGTCTCAGTCTTCTCTGGCCTCTCCTCTCACTCTTGGAGAGTGTTTTATAAAGTTGTATATGTCATGCTTATCCCAATTATTACAAATAAAGGACACTTAACTACCACCAATGGAATTCCCTACATAAGCACTCCCTCCTCCCCAGAACTAACCTCAAATCCTCCTCTTAGGCAGAGTGAGCCTGGGAGAAATGGAATTCCTGACTTTCTTAGCTATTGGCAACAACATGTGGACAACCACACATATTATATTCCAAATATCTTTGGCGAGATGATTCACATCCACATATAGTTATCTCTTACTTCTTTCAATAATGACAACATTTTCACCAAGATAATCAGCTTTTCAATTAACTTGATCTTTTCCTGAAGAAACTGTTCAAAATTTCTCTGATCACCAGCCTGACCAAGCTTCCTTGGGGGGTGGGGGATTAGTCTGCTACCCCCCAGCTGTGTACTTCTATCCTAACCCCATGAGCATTCTTATCCCACTGTGATGAAGTCCACAGGGTTCAACAAGTTAATTCTTCCATGCATTGAATGTACACCAGGTGCTGGGGAGGGCTGGGAAGGAGGAGGGGGGAGGGGCTGGGTCACACAGATGACCCAGTCCCTGAGGGTCCAGCTGAGCAAAGACATATCAGATACAAGCCCAAAAATAACAGCATGAAGTCAATGGAATTACAGTGTGAAGGGCTCAAGGGAGCCCAGAAGGGAAAACAGTCCCATTATGGGGAAGGGAGGGTATAATGAAGAGAATGTTCACAGCAGAGAAAGAAAAGGGGTATTTTGGGGCTGAGGAAACAGCCTTGAAATGTAGACTGTATTTAGAGACCATCTGACAGTCTGGCCTGGCTGTGGGGGAAATTCGATAATTCCATGGGGAACCGGAGGGACACAGAACCTCCACACCAAATCCTACCATTTCAGGGCCTGGAATCCTCCTTGTTTCATGGGTCAACGGAAAAAAGCCAAACTCTGTAAAATAATTTTAAAGAGATTTATTCTGAGCCAAATTTGAGGACCATGACCCGGAGCCACTACCAAGAGGCCTTGAGCAAGTGGACTTGCTGTGGCTGGGTTACAGTTCAGTTTTATACATTTTCAGAGAGACAGGGGTTATAGGCAAAGTCAGGAATCAATACATGAGAGGCATACCTTGGTTTGGCCCAAAAAGGTGGGACATCTCCAAGCGGGGTCTTACAGGTTATAGGTGGGTTTAAAGATTCTTTGGCTGGCAATTGGCTGAGAGAGTTAGACTTTATCTAGAAGACCAGAAAGGATATACTTATTTTAAGATAAGGATCTGAGCACTCTGGGAGGTCCAGATAGGAGGACATTTTAAATTTACAATAGGCGCCTGCTAGGATGCTTTAAGATATTTTAAATTTATGATAGGCATCTGCTAGGATGCTTGAGTGAAGACAGGGGCTTCTTATCTTATAGGTGATGGTAATGCCATACCAGAATCAGGTTGGGAAGTAAACCACCCTGCTTAGTGGGAATGCTTAGTGGGAATTTACCGTTTGTCAGCCTGACGCAGCTGGCCTCCTTAGGAAGGAGTTTTTAGCAAAAGAAAAAGATCAGAGTTCAGTCCTCACATGTCAGCTAGGCAAATAGAAGTATTTTTTTTTAAAAGAAATTTAAAAGAAGATTTGCATGGCTAGTGAAACCTTTGGAATTACAGGAGGGACTCATAATAATAATAGCAGTAATAATATTATTATTGCACAATAATATTATTATTCTTATTTTGTCAAACTCCACGTGATTTAGGACATACATGGCATTTTAGAGCTGAGAGACCTTTGAAGATCAACTCATCCAGCCCTCTTATTTTACAGATTAGGAAGCTGAGGCCCAGAAAGAAGTTTCTTGCCCCAAATCCACTGTGATTAGAGTGTAAGAGGTTTGTCTGAAGTCACCCAGCCACTGGTGGCACGGGACACCTCCAACACTGTCTTATAAACATTCTTACTACAATTAAACTCGTTCACGAGGGACAAAGCATGAGACAGAAGAGTTAAGTGTGGTGATTAAAGCCCCAGACCCCAGATATCTGCAGTCGTGACCTGGGTAAGAAATACAGGGCCAGGGGAAGTCTGCTTTGCTTCAGCTGCTGCCAGCCTAACCCCACAGCGCAGCTAAGCCGCAGGGAGTTCTCTGTCTTCACTACGAGCTTAGCTGCAATGTGGTTTAAATTAGACATTTCTTGCCTGAGTAGAACAAATCACTTAGGTTATACGCTGACAAAAAAGGAACAGTCTGCATGCTTGGAAAGCTTAGGGGGAATTAAATTATGTGCTGTCACTTCAGAGTTGCTCCTCTGTCCTCTAACCACCACCTCTCTATCGCCTGCGGGAGCCGCCAGAGCCTTGCGTGCAAGCTGTGCCATAACCCAAGGCTTAACATAAACTTCGGGCTCTCAGGTCATTGGGAAATAACAGGTATATCCGGTTTGGGCCTTTTGTGCTTGTCTGCACGCAAATTAAAAGCTCGTGCAAAGCTGAACTCCTTGGAGCCTCTGGTTATAGAGAAGGGAGGATGAGTTGGAATGAAATTCTCACACAATTGCCTTGTTTATTTTTCCAGGGAATGGGGTGATAGAGCCAGTTTACGGGAAGTTCTCACCTCTGGGAGGCTGAGCCTTGTGCCAGATGGTGTGCTGGGGAGCAGGGCTCCAAAGGACCCCAAGTTTGAACTTTGAAGGGAACTGTTTCTTACAGGGAGGAGGTTGGAGGTGGGGGGGGGAGTGCCATATCCCCAAATTCCTGGCTGGTAGCAACAATGCCAAGACAGCTTAGTCCTTAGTCTTAGTTACTGGCTTGCAGGGACAGAGCAAGGTGGGGAGGATACAAGAGGGGACCTGAAACTTTGGGGGCCATGCACGAAAGGCTGTTACCTCAGCTCCCACCTCTCTAAGTTTTGTGATGCCCCCAATACAATTGAGCTCTGAGCCCTCTGGAAGGCTGATTGGAGGAGGAATGGAGTATCCACTCTGTCCTCACTTTTCTTCCAGTGGGAAGCGACAATATTCCCTTTGCTGTGACTATTGTCTCCCTCCTTAAATAGAAGAAACCTATGCCTGTTGCCCTCTAAATGTGAGGTTTCCTCTGCAGGTGTTTGCACACCTGGTGTGGCTGGAAAGCAATAGTTTTTGCAGCCTGGTGGACCTGAATTCAAATTTCAGCTCAATCAGCACAGGAGCTGGGTGACATTGATTGATAACTGCAATTCTTCCTGCCTTGCTTTATTTGTAAAAAACAGGATTAGGGTAATCTTTATCTCAAAGGGTTGATCATGCAGGATTAATGAAACGATTTATGTCAAGTTCTTGGCACACTGCCTGGCTCAAAATGCTCAATAGATGGTGGTTCTTACATTATGATAGTATATTATTATTGTTACCACTGGTGCCATCCAAAGATTTCAGACTGTGGCTCGATTTCAGGCTATGATTTCAGGATGTGGCTTAGATGGCCTCCAGGCTCCACACCTGAGCAGGATCCACTTACCTCTTCCCCTGAGCTGGGCTCTTCCGGTTGCCTGACTCAGGCACCACCTGGGCTCTAGGCAACAGGGATTTGGGTACCACTCTGTCTGCCTCTTCTTCCTAGCCCTTCTTGGGGTTAAGGTGCATCATCAAGGCAGGTGGCTGCTGTGGGACATCTTTCTAGCCAGATACCTGGTGGTGGCACCTCTGCAATAGCCCAGCAGGTTGCAGTGCTGATTCAATGTGTCTACCCTTGTCTCTGGGGGCTTTTTTATTAAAATCAGTAGCTGAAACTGAAATTCCCCCAAATCCACCCCACCCTATGCCAAGACCACAGCCCCTTTAGGTTTTGGGGTTCTTTACCCCGTTGGGGAGATACACACACACCCCACATTCTTAAGCTTAGACTATGGTTCTCAAAGTATGGTCCAAGAACCTCTGGGGGGTGGCCCTCAAGACCCTTTCAGAGGATCCACGAGGTTAAAACTGTGGTCATAAGAGGTTCTTTGCCTTTCTCACTCTCATTCACTCACAAGTTTACCCAGGGGTCCTTCAGGAACTACATGAAGTCTGACATCACAACACATTGGATGAAGAAACAGATATGAGTAGTCAGCTGTCTTCTGTTAAGGCAGAAATTAAAGAGATTTGTAAAAATGTAAAACAATGCCACTCTGTCTAAATATTTTTGATTTGGGAAAATATAGTTATTGTCCATAAAATACATTATTTATGTTACATGTATCAAGTTTATTATTTTTAATGAGCTAATGTATAAACATTTTAATTTTTTTCAGCTTTAA